TGGGAGGCTACTCGTCCGAGCGCATGCGGGTCCTCAACTCGCTGGCTCGCTCAGGGAAGACGACTGCGCGGGCGGCTCGAGGCGCCGACGACGCGACCGGGAGCGCGGAGGGCGCGGCAGCGGAGGCCGCCGCCAGCGCCGCCGCCGCCGCCGCCCGCGCAGCGATGGCAGAGGCTGTGCGGCGCCGCCGGCCGAGTGCGCAGGGCGGCGACTGGCGGGAGGCTGCGCTGTACGAGCGATTGCGCGAGGCGAACGCGCCTCTCGTCCAGCAGCTCCGCGTCATCTTGCAGAGCGCCGAGGCGCGCGAGACGGAGCGGGCGTGGCTGAAGCTCAAGGCGAATGGCGAGCTCGACGAGACGCGGCTGGTCGACGCGGCGGTGGGGGAGAGGCAGGTCTTCAAGAAGCGAGGCGCACCGCCGCAGCGGCACGGCACGCACCAGGCCAAGCCCAAGCACCTCACGTTCCTGCTCGACGCCTCCGCCTCGATGGCGCGCGGCGACGCGCTGGACGGGAGGCTTCACCGCATGGCGTCGACCGCGGCGCTGCTCATCGAGGCGCTGCACGGCTTCGAGCACAAGTTCGTCTACAACATGAGCATGCACAGCGGGGGCACCGCCGACGCGCCGCTCCTGGAGGCGGGGAGGCCGCCTGCGGAGGAGGGGGAGCGCGCGCGTGTCGTCGGCGCGCTCTTCGCGCATGCGTGGTCTGCGCCCTCGGGCGACAACTCGCTGCAGGCGGTGCGCCGCGCCGTCGAGGCGGCCGGCCGGGCGGACGCGGACGAGCGCATCGTTGTCCTGCTCTCCGACGCGAACCTCGGCCGGTACGACGTGAGCCCGGAGGAGATTGGCGAGGCGCTGCGTAGCAACCCACACGTGCGCGCGTACTGCGTCTTCGTGGCCGAGCCCGCAGCCGCCGAGTGGCTCGCCGAGCAGTTGCCGCTCGGGCAGGGCTTTGCGGTGCAGGACGTGGCGAAGCTGCCCCGTGTCATGAAGGAGGTGTTCGCGCATGCGGCGACCGCGGGTCCTTGACGCCACCGCTGGTATCTGGGTGTGCATGTTCTCGATTGTGTCAAACTTGATCGTTGTGTACTGACGTGTACTGTCTTTTCGTATGCACATGTGCATGCACATGTGCATGTGAAACCCCCCTGCGCGCGCGGGGGC